TGTGTGTGTGTGTGTGTGTGTGTGTGTGTGTGTGTGTGTTGGTGCGTGTACGTATGTGTTTAGTATAGAACCTCTGCACTGGCTTTAGAAAACATGGACTTATAATTCACAACTTATTTTTCTTCTGGCTTACAATTTCAGTGTGTGTGTGTGTGTGTGTGTATACAATGCATGCAGGTTCATGTATGATGCGTGAACAGGGCATTAACATATGTAGGTGCACATATATGTGGAGATCAGAGAAGGATATATGTCTCCCTCTATACTCTCCACCTTATTCTCCTGAGACAGCCTCTCTCATAGAAGCATAGTTTCAAGCTGGTTTGAGAATACCGGCTAGACAACAAACTCCCAGGATCTGCAGGTCTCCTGTTCCCCAAAGCTGAAGTACAGGCACAAAGCCATGTATGGAAACATACATGCTGGAAATTCAAACCCTGGTCTTCATGTTTGCATGGCAAGTTTTCTTACCCACTGAGCCATCTGCCCAGCTCCTGAATTACATTTCTTTTTCATCTTTTCTTATTTTTAACAGTAATCATTTTTTACACACTAGAAAAATCAACAAGATTGCATGCCATTCTTCTTAGAGCAGTTTTTTAATCCTACTTTGCTAAAATAATTGCTTTATATCACACACACATAATTTCCTCAAATCCCTTATTTTATTTTTCAAGAATAATATATCTTTCTTTCCTGCAGGCAGATTAGAGCTACAAATCCACAGCAAAATGAAATACATGAAATAGTTATCTTATAAATCTATACTGTATAGAAAGTTTTTAATAGACTGGCTGTTCTAAAAGTAGAAATTGATTTCTCTTCTTCGTGTGTACAAACTAGAATATGCATGAATGTCCTTTTCCTAGAAAAAGGACCAAACCTGGAATGTCTTTCATTATGCCACAGATTAAGATACTTATCCTATTTAGTTTCTCAAAATTGGAGATATTGTAATCAAAAGGTAATCTAGATTTCTAAAAAAAATTACTGCATGAGACTCACAGAATATTATTTTCTATTTGCAATAGATCAGACCTTTAAATGCAGAAAAGAATGGATTGTAAACATATATTTTTTTAAAAAAACAGGAAAATTCTGTTTGGGCCATGGAAAGAGCTGCATTTGTTTGGGGACCTTTGATTAAGCAGAGGAGGGTGTCCTGATCTATAAGGAAGCCCTGTATTTTCTCCCATGATTTCCATTTGAGTTTCAGTCATCAGTGACCACTAGAAAATCTCCAATGGTGAATCTAGCTTCCCACTCTGAGGAGTCCCAGCCAGGAAGAGTAGACTGGCTCATCCCAAATGAGCATCAGGAAACTTCGACTGGTAATCTGACTGATTCCCAGGTAGGAAAATATATAAAAGAAAGCACAAGAGAACAGTAACACAGAATTAGCCAGGATACTCACTCAAAGACAAAATCTATGCCTAGAGATTCTCGGCTAGCTAAAGGTGAAATTTATCTTTTGAGGTAAACAAAGATAATGGTTTCCCCTCCACTACCACCATGCAGGGAAAAAAATAAATCTGTTTTTATGTATAGAGCTCTATGCACTTCAGCACTAAGTGGGAGAGGATACTTCTTCAATCCAGGAGCATCTACGATGTTGGTTTTTATTGCCAACAAATGTGCAAGTGGTATAATCATGTATTTGGTAAACTATGACAATGTTTAGCCTGTCTGCCAGAGCAACAAATTGAACTTCAATCTCCAAAGCCTCCAATTCATGTGAACAAAGTTAGTGACTTTATAACAAACCGAGTGAACAAGGACGTTTTACATATTAAGTTAGAAAATGTAACTAATGTATTCTATAAATCCATGGAAAGATGTTATATCTCCTAAAAATTGTACCTGATTTTAGGGTTCCTGGTTAGTGAGTCCAGCCTGTATGAGATTTTTTAACGTGAAGGGGAATGGATGGGGTGCAGAACACAGATGAAACTTTTACAGCATGGAAATAAAGGTATTTTTAAACTTTCTTAAGGGTGAAGAGTTAGGCAAGAAGTAATACGTGGAAAACTGTCAAGTGCTTCTCTACACACCCACCCACCAGATACCATCACAGCCGGCTGGGGGAAGTCTCCCTCTTCTTGCCTGACAGCTTCACTTTCTTTGAGGTCTGGAACTGGTGATCACACTGGTCCGTCATGGTATTTTCGGTTAACAAAGCAGTTACTCAATAGGGGGAAAAAGGCACAAAGGAGCGGGGCAGCTGCTGCTGCACCCATGATGCAAGTGCAGCCTGAGTCCTGGGCCGCCACCGCCGCCTCGGCTCCTCCGTGACGTCCGGGATGGGTGGAAGTGGTGGCCGCAGGCAGCTCCGCCCCTTCGCGAGTCAGGGCCCGCCCGGCAGGCCCGGTGGCGAGACCTGGCCCAGAGGTTTGCAGAGCCCGGGCGGGCGGATGGGGGATCACCGCGCTCCACTTAGAGCACGCGCGTGCCACCGGCAACGCGCCCCGCTCGCGCCCGCGCCTCCTTCCAGCCCCGGGCCCTCGGCCCCCCCTT